GATTGCGGATTCCGGTTCGACTAGAAATCCATTCATCGGTAGTATCCATAACCTTAGCAAGATCATCATTAGAATACTGAAGTTTTGGTAAAGCTGATCCACATCCAACTAGTTTGCAGCCCTTGCTAATAAACCTGTTTTTCAAAATATATTTGAAAGATAAGAATGCTTAAATCTGCAGATCATGTGCTTTTTATCCAATGTTTCAAAGAATTGGCATATTTGAATTTGACGAGTGGAGTAATTCAAAGGGTCGTTAAAGCATTTGTGAATTGCCTTCCAGAACTTCATAGGTTTATTTAATATGATGGCCAACAAATGTACATGAATCGGTAAAACGAAGAGTTGTAAATTGATGTTAAAAGTATATTTTTGTATAGAAATCACATTCTTCTTAAACTATTTGATTATATATTAACATTAACATTGATAAATGATAATTATCTAGCTTGTTTGACCTTAGAAGTCAAAGCGTAGGGTTTTTTTTAATCCTTTGGAACAGAGAGAGCATTGTACATTCTTCTACAAGTGTGTAGCTAAACATGCTAATAAACTTGCAAATTTTGCACTAAAACTAGCCAAATATGTAATTTCACATTCAAGAATTAGGAAAAAAAGTTAATAATAATAAAGGTTATAAGTCACTAATAAAAACCCATGTCAAACTTAAGTTACGATATCAAGAACCATAAAAATATGGGTAAAGAAAGCTCATAATCCACACACTGATAATGATCAAGAAGCAGCTACCGATGATACCCACAAAGAAATAGAAGGTAACCTGGTAGGTCGAGATTCTGTAGAAGTGCCAGAGCAGCAGATTCTTTCGGAAACTAGATTAGAAGAACAAAACCCAGACCGATCTATGCCGACAGATAGTGAAATCTTGACAATTGGTGCTGAAATCCCAGATGCATTTGCCATTTACAGCGCAATAAAGATTGAATCTTTCCGATTAACTTGCGATCTTTTTGGCTAGGTTTGGTTGGTGAATGAAATAAATTAGAATTGCAAATGGTTTAAACAGAGGATATTTTTTATATGACCCTCGTACTTGGTAGCTGTCTAAAGCTGAAGACAGTTACTTAGCTACCACGCCACCCTACCTCCCTGCCTAGAATAATTATAATTACACCGATAAGCGCACCTTAGGCTAGGATAGGGATCCACCCGTGATTTGCTGAGCAGGAGGGGTTAAGGACGCGTGTTCAGCGAACACCATCCCAGCTCCGGTGGTTTGGGTGTGGCGTGGTCCTGAAGACGGACGAAGACGTGGCTTTTGATTGGTCCCTCACATTTCTACTCTTTATCTCTCTTCTTTTTGCACCTTCACCACCTAACCACCGGTGACCACCGCCCCCAACCCCGGTGGTTTGGGTGTGAAACTCCATCAATATCTACGTGGTATCACATATATTCCCAAAGCATGCGTAACCATTCCATATAGCCTTAATACCAACAAGAGGATTCTAAAAACACACCTAATATATGTAATCATAACCCATATTTAGTTGACATGTACATTTTATTAACATTAAACTAGAAAGTTTCTCCCTACGTTACTGGGTGAAAAGTGTTGCTTTTGCGTCAAAGTAAAGTATGTTGCCTAAGTTGTTAGCCACAATAAAATACGTTGCCATTGTAGGAGATTTGTCCATTTACAAACATGTAAATGTTATAATAAGAAAATTTTGAAAATACAATCCAATAATTGGATAGAATTTTGAAAAAACAATGTGTTAATAAGAAAAGATATCAAAGTATTGTAATATGTTATAAACAACAGCCCCATCCATCTTCCTATTCAGTTCAATTTTCCGTAATAAAATTAAATCACATCATTATCTAAGACTAAGACTGACATCCCATGCGGCTATCAATTTCTCCAACACTAAAAATTAATACGATACTGAATTCTACACTTGTAAGATTTATTCCACGCAAAAATGTGTAGATCTCATCCGTTGAATGAAGAGCACATGAGCAACCATAAACATATCAGAAAACCACCAAGACAGTCATCATCACAAGGGCAAAAAAAGTCAACGCATGAGCATTTACAATCCATCCAAATTGAAACAATTAATTACAAAGAAACCTGAAACACCATGATAAACCAAAAAATATACTCGCATGCCAATATGAGATTTTCAATGTCTTCTGAGCACACATGCAAGACTCTCTGATAACACAAATTTACAGCAAAAAAAAATGTTAAGTGTACAGTGGTCCAAAAATTGATCACAAACGAACAATTTTTTATAAATTAATAAGTAAAAAAAAAGTAAGTAATGTGATACATGAGAAAGTATATCTAGTGAAGAAGTGAAGAAGCAAAGTCAAGAAATATAGAATCCAAGCTTTTACCAGTGACCAACTTGGCTTTAAATCATCACAAATACAACTATGAGTACATAAACTTTAAAAAAAATTAGAAAATAATAAAAATAAAAGTAGAACAATTCATAAAAACAACTAAAACATGTTCAACAAATGATAAGTACAACAAAAACCTACAAACATGACTTAAAGTTCCAACGGAAGGAGGATGGTTTTTTTTTACAAAACCCACATCAAAATAATAACAATCATCAAGCTATATAAATTTTATGAAACTGAACCTACTCTATCACCGAGCACGTGTCTGTTTTTTTTAAGTGCACTTTGTTGGTAAAAGCATTTTTACCAAGTAAAATACTATAAATGGCGATTTTCAAAAAATAGAATGCTATAAAACATGTTTTTACCGTTGCCCAGTGTTTTTTTTGTTTTCCTTCTCTGACCTTATGAATTTATATGTTCAAATAAATTATTTGAGATTTCAAAATATACAACAAATATGTTTGATTTTTCAGAAAAAAGATTAACTACATTATCAAAGACTCAAAGTTTCAACATTATGTTGCAATTTACAATACATGTAAGTAAAGTACTCGACAAATTAATTGTTAAAAATTGATAACTAAGATCAATGTTGAAGCAAGTATCCTAAAATCCATTCAGCGTCGTAAGATGATTGAACCGATGGAAGTCGTTGATTCTAAAGATCAATAGCCACCTTTCCCCGTTCTGCCTTTTTCAATCTGTAAAAAGATTTTTGATAAAGCATGATAATTGGTATATAATAATGTAAATCTCATTGAACAACAACAAGATTACCTTGCGTTTATCAATTTCATTAGCTTTGCATTTCATTACATCTTTGCACTTGATAGTTTTCGGTAATTCTAAGAATTGATTTGCCTTATGATTTGTACTTGGCTTCATACCCATTCCTTTACTTGGTTCACTAATAGCTACATTTGATACAAAACCATGGAATTTCGTAGGTTGTTTATTGAATCGATTTTTTTTTCTTTTGTAAAATGTTTAAAAAGGAAAACAAACCAAAAGCAAATAATAATAATAATAATAATAATAATAATAATAATAATAATAATAATAATAATAATAATAATAAGTAAATAATAATAAAAAATAAAATGGAGGAAGTATTTCAAAATTTTACTTACTGTAGTTATTTTTCTTTGGCCTAATTGCATTAATAAAAACTACTTCCTTTGACCCTTCTGACTTTGGTTTCTTTTGGTTCGTCATTAAGAGAAGATTGGGAGTGAAGGATCAGTATTTGAATCAAAAAGATTTTCTTTACTTTTTTTTCTTTGTTTCAGTAACCAAGAAACCCTATCCAATTTGACAAAACAAACACCATAAAAACTATCTTCCTTTCTTCGTCAAACACACGTTTCTTTCACAAAACACATGTTTCTTTCACTCTCTTGTAATTACTGACATTTTGAGCACTCTTTACATCAACCATGGTGTAATTACATCAAGCTATAAATCTTAACTAGATAGCTAAAACTAATTCTAAGGTTTGTACCTGAAACAGATGCTTAACTCTAGTGGGTAGATTTTAAATATAGTTAAGAAAAATACATTAAGAACTCACTAAAGTAAGAAATTGAATGGCTAAAAACATTTTGTATATTTACTAAACCGTTAATATATAAAGTATATGTTTTATATTGAAAAATAATAAATAACTATCATTACATTTTGTAGAATGGTAGTCAAAACTATACTTTTTTCTCATACTATTATGTCGCATGTACCACATACCAACGGTTTTCATAGTTTCCAATAGACTCTAGATTTCAACTATTACTAACAGGATATTTGAATGGAAAAAGACATGTAAACAAAAAAAAAGAGGAAAAGTTAAATCAACTAACCCCTTTTGATGAACTTCATGCTTTTGCTCCATAAATTTGACCTAAGATGAACAAAAAAACACATGATTTAAGTTTTCTTTACTTAAAACACCAATAATCTACTCACTGATAATCAACCAAAAAAAATACAAAATACAATAAATCTGAAAATAGTGTTTGTCGCATATCATAATTAATGTTCACCTGTTTAGCCACTGTACTTTTCCCCCAAGAAAGGTGGACTAGAGTTTGACCAATTTGACTTCCATGCATCCTTTTAATTGCTTCTTCAGCACATGTCCTACAGGAAATTAGTAATTAAGTTTTTACAATATTTTCATGTATCAATTTTTTTTAACCAATTTAAGACTTATCTATTGACAAACTGAACAAACCCGCATCCTTTTGCAGCAAGAATTTTAACATAAACTATTTGACCAAATTGCAAGCAAATCGACCTCAAATCCTCCTCTGCTACACCAGGGTCAAAACCTGCAATAAGAAAGAAGAAAGTTATGAAGAAAATGGGCATAAGGGTATAATTCAAAATTGCTAGACTTATAGTTGTCTCTGTTAGATGAGTGTCCATTAGAATAGCAACCACTGTAGTTGGATATAAGCTTGATAAAACAGATTCAGATGAGAATTTTACAATATGATTAACAGAACAAAATAGTAAATACAATACATGAATATACTACCTTTTGGTGCTACGTATTGTTGTTGGAATGTTGTGGTCTTCTTTGGTGTTGTTGCATTGATTCTCATGGGTCTAGTTCATTTCACTCATGGCACGATTTCTTTCCATTTTGTCTGCAATTTAACAAAATCGTATCCTTTTGAGCGTCCTGCGTTGGGATCTGTGATGACTTTGGTGTCTCTTAGAGATAGATATTGAGTGTAAAAGGTTTCTTGCAGTAAATAATCGGTAACATCTGGTGCTAAATCGCCTACGAAGATGGAATGTTCAGTGCCAGCATATGATTTTAGAACCCTTCCTGCTGTTGAATGTGAAGCGAACTCCACAAATCTGTAACCCTTTGGAAGCCCTGTTGCTTTGTTACGGATTACTTTCATCGAAAGCACCTACAAAGTGAAGCTATGGTCACTTTTTGGACCTTTAAAAAACCCTAAACTCCATAAAAGACGTAAACATAAAAATGATTTGGTGAACTGTGTGTGTGTGTGTTGGGGAGATATATTTAAGAATTAGAAGGACCTCATTGGCGACAGCAAACCAGGAATGAAGGTAGGATTCGTCAGCCCAATAGGGTAAATCCCCAATCCATAGGGTACATATTTCTTCATAAGAGAAGGGGTGGTGGTAGGGTTACGGCGGAGGCGGCGACGCTCCGTAAGCATACTGTGGTTGTGGTTGTGCGGTCATCATCTATTGTTGTTGCCTACCTTGTGCTTCCATCTTCCTTCTCTGTGGGTGTCTGTTGAATGTCCTGAATGTGATGGAAGGCTCTATTGGCTCTTGCAATTTTGGCTTTTGGGGGTGGGTTCATTGTTTCCGGTTTTTGTTAAATTTTTCAAAGCAGATCGATTAATCAATGAGGCGGTGTGAAGGAAAGAGACCTAACGATCGGAGGTTTTAGAACAGAGGAATGAGGCGGTGGGTTTGTGGGAAATGAGGAAGGATCCAGAATATAACAGATGGTTGAAGATGTTTGATAAGGCTGCAGTGGGAAGGTTCGGGAAGCAATATAAGAATCTAAATATTTCCATAAAATGCCCAGTAAACGTAATCTATAATCAAGGGACCATTTCTGCTAAAAAAATGTTCAGTTTACTATTCCTAAGATTCATCTCTTTAATATATATATATATATATATATATATATATATATATATATATATATATATATATATATATATATATATATATATATTAAATGAACCGATAGTAAATTTTCATTTCACGTTTAATTAAAATATTTTCATATCAGACCTTGGAATTTGTATAGATGTTCCATATTACAATTATAGTTTTATATAAATAATTTTAAATTATTTAACCTTTTTGTTTTTATTATACATATATATGTTTTAAATAGTTTCAAATTATTGTTTTATTTGTTTTTTTTTCTTAATTTTATTATATAATTATACCATTAGTCTTTATAAATATAAATAAACATATTGTTCTAGTTATCCACACTTTAATTTAAGAAAAATATAGAAAATGAAGAAAAAATGGTTTTATAAAATGTCTCAAAATAATTCATTTTTAATACAAACTATCAAAATGTTTCATTTTTTTTTTGAAAGGCAATATATATCTACTCTAAATTGAAAATCGAAAGTGATGGATTTGATGGAATTATGCATTCAGAGGGTGTTTGGAGGTGTTTTTTATACTTAAAAGTATTTTTTTAGAAAAGTGTTTATTGGTTTATAGCTTTTTTCTAAAAGTAGTTTTTAAAATGTGTTTGGATTGGCTTTTAAGATGGTAAAAACTAAAAGGGATTTTCTAATATGTGCCATAAGGATAGATATAAGAAGTATTAATTAATCACAATTATTACCATAATTAAATGTGAAATGCATTAATTATAGAGATTATTAATAAATTTTATATTTAATTATGGTAATATTTTTTATAATTAATGTGTTTAACATTTAATTATGATAATAATTATGATTAATTAATACTTCTTATATGTGCTCTTAGGGCACATATTAGAAAATCCCAAACTAAAAAGTCAATAAGCCCTAAAAAAACCACGATTCTGTTGCTTTTTAAAACTGCTTATTCTCCTTTACCAAAAAGCCCTTTTTAAAAGCACTTTTCACTTACCCAAACACATTTTCAGCTTATTTGCTTATTGGATAAACAAATAACCTAATAAACCTTTTTTATAAGCAATCCCAAACACCCCTCAATCGAACAATATATATGGATTCTCATCCAATAAAATGTTTTGGTTTGAAATTATGCATTTAGTCAAGCAATATTGAGTTGGCGCGAAACCTGGTCAGAGAAATAATTTTTTAAAAGTAAATGTTTGTTGTGGCGGTTTTAGGCAAGAAAATTTCAACCAACATGGTGGGGAAGCCGGTTTTACGCATGGAAAATTTCATACTACGACATTGAAATTTCTTGTGTGTCTGTGTTTTTAATTTATTTTTTAATTAAATATTGGTTCAAGTTTTTGATGTTTAACAATTAAAAAAAGTTTCGAATCAAAAATATATCATATTACCAAATTTTGGGTTCTTATGCGATCCCACACACACACACACATATATATATATATATATATATATATATATATATATATAAAAGATCGATCCTGAAAATTAAATATCATCAATGGCTCAGGAATAGCTAGAAAAATAGCACTTATTGTTATTATATATTTTTTCTTTTTAAATAAAAATATATAGAAAATATAATAATAATAAATTAGATTATATGTAGCTGCCAATTTAATAAAAGAATAGTTTTATTTTCCTTTTGACATGTGTCACCCTATTAGGCCTCCTAATTAATATATATTTTATTCTTCTTTTGTCATGTGTCACCCTATTATATCTTATTCTTCTTTTAAATTTATTACTTTAATTACATTAAATTAATAATATTAGAATAAAAATTAAAATAAAATTAATACAAATTATAAAGTGATATAATTTCATATATTTATTTAAATAAATGATTATAATTTTGTATAACTAAGAATATCTCTTAATTAATAATTTATTTAAAACAAATGATTAATAATTTTGTATTTTTATACTATAAAAATTTAATTAATTTTGTAACCGTGGTTTTCACGGGTTATAAACTAGTATATATATATATATATATATATATATATATATATATATATATATATATATATATATATATATATATATATATACCTGGTTATCGATGGTTTTCACTTAAACCAAGGTGGTTTTGAGTATAACATGGTGCGAAAAACAACACGCATTAACGCAGTGAACACGACGCTAAACGGGGTTGGAACAGTGGTAAGACAACTGCGCGATAAAACTTCACAGCTATGGAATTCAAAATTTACCGTTCATGTGTGTGTGGAGGGGCGGATGGAGGATTTCCTACTAGGTAAAATTGTGTTGCATATTTTTTGAAGTAGTAGTACAATAATTGGAAAAAAAAATTAAAATTTTTTACACTGCGTATATGAAAGTTGGGCGTTGTCGGTGCCACTTTAGATAGATACTAAAACCGCCTATGGACCCACGCAAGGCGCCGGCGACGAATAATTTTTTCAGGCGATATGTTTCTTTTACAGAATTGTTATGTTCCAAAGATAGTAGATGTCTTAAATAATTGAATACAACCGTGATGTTATTTGTGACACGATACATCAGATAATTGAAAAAAGAAACTGTACTTCAAGGCGGCACAAAATATAAAATGTATTAGCCGTTCAAACGAAAATAATACAATTATAAAAAGAATACACAAAATATGAAAATATGTAATAAGGCATGATTGATTATACATTATTAATCGTACAACGCTTCTTTATACACCACTTTGTTTGTATAGACTCCATCACCTTTATAATTTTCGTTAGGATTGTTCAAAGTATGTGAAACCTATAAATAATTCCTATTTTTTTATTACCAAATCAGTCTTTGTGATTTTTTGACAATTAGTTTGGTTACGAAAGGAATCACAATAGATATTTGAATTTTGAAACTTTTTAAATTTACTACACTTTTGTTAATCAATGTGTAGTTGAGATTTATAATTTTTGTTTAAAAATAAACTATACCAAACTCCATATATCTATCCATTAGGTCTCTTTTTAAGAAATTTATCATCCTCCTTACTATCTTTAAGTTTACCTTACGATTAATATTTTGATCATCCACTTTTGACACCATAATAATTTGTTTGAAATGGTATCTCTGTAACCACCTACCAAACAAACGGTGACTTGTTGCTTTGTTGTAAGAGTAATACCAAATAACCCATAAGTTTAAGAATACTATCAAACAGCCACCGAATATATATATTTTTTATAAAACAACTTGTTCTTTTTGAGTCTTTTTGGTTTTTCCGATTCTATTCGGTTCCAAAGCAAGTTGTGCATATTCTGTCGCCCTTCGGTTAATACCCGAACTGGAACCGACACCGGTCTCGAATTGGTGTAACAGGTCCGGTTTCAGTTCCTATTATTGTGGAAATTCAATTATCGGTTCTTTGTGTTCCAATCTGTTTCTGTCCGATTCCGAACCTAATAACATCCCTAGTCTTGTTGTCCCAATTTCCGCCATTTGGAAATATTAATATTACAATTCTTATGGATTCAATGAATCTTGGGAAATATCGATGAAGAATATATTTTTTGTATTGTTGAGTTTATTGCTAAATCACGTTTCCTAGAATGGCTAATTATTCTTAATTTTGTTTTTACATTTTGTGTGTTTGTCTGTACATTTCGGTCAATATGCGTGCATATCATGTGAAAGAACACATTAGAATTTGTTATATCCATGGTTGTGAAAGAGCTTAAAGTTAGACAATCATTGATGATTATGTTAAAATCATTTTTTAATTGCTAATCATAGAAGAATCTTTTTAATAATAACCCTACAATTGTAGCTAAGTGCATGTAAATTCAATTTAGTCCTTTTACCATCTTTGAGCTCAAGCATAGCATGAATCAACCGAGGCTCGTAATTCCATCATAGTATCCTATTACTCATATATTGAGTATGGCAATGACAAGTAAAAGCACCTACAATATATGAACCCAAATCTTACAACCAAATTCCAATTATTACACAAACGATTATCGAGAAACATTCCAAGTTTAGCCCAGTCCATGACGTTTTCTTTAGTGGTTGAAGATGATTTCACTTTTGCACTCAAAGTTGGCACACCAAATCCTGCAAAGTTTCTTATTCTGCAAATTATCACAACAAAAAACTTTGATGCAAATTAAAATACAGAAAACATATAATTTGTTAGATGCTCACTTCTATGTTAAGCATAATCACCAAGTACTCAAGATATATAAACCTTTACTCATAGTTAATTAAACAAGATAGAAATGTATATCAATGGCTACTTGAGATTAATCTAAAGTGAGAAAATAAACAAATGTTAGAGCATAGAAAAATAACTGAAGATTCCACAAATGACAAAAACTGGCAGATGCTTGATTTAACAAAAAATTAATCACGGAAGAGAGATAGAAAGGGTTTTATTTTTGCAAACACACAGATAAAGAGAGATAGAAAGGGTTTGGTTTACATATCAATGCTTGAGAACTTTACCCAACGACGAAAGCAATTTCAACTTCTAGATTTAGCTTCTCCTCATCCTTCTCAACAGCAGGACAAGTTACCTTGTTCAAATTAGATATTGTACA